CCCCATTTCCTGCTTCTCGGCGCTCCTTCCACTCCTCGGCGGCACTCCCATTTCTCCTCGGCACTCCTTCACTCGGCGGCTCTCCCACTTCTCTTCGGCACTTCTCGGCACTCCTTCAACTCCTCGGCGTCCCTCCCATTTCTCGACGCTCTTCGGCATTCCTTTCACTCCTCGGCGGCTCTCTCATTTCTCGCCACACCTCGGCATTCATTCTTCTCGTCGGCGGCCCTCCCATTTTTTTGCGTTCCTCGGCACTCCTTCCACTCCTCGGCGGCTCTCTCATTTCTCGGCTCTTCTCGGCATTCATTCTTCTCGTCGGCGGTCCTCCCATTTTTTCGCAGTCCTCGGCGCTCCTTCCACTCCTCGGCGGCTCTCTCACTTCTCGGCACTTCTCGGCACTCCGTATGGTCTTCGGCGGTTCTGCCATTTTTTGGTTCTCCTCGGCGCTCCTGCCACTCCTCGGCCGCCCCCTCCTTTCTGGGCACTTCTCGGCTTTCCTTCTTATCTTCGGCGGCTCTCCCAATTCTCGGCGCTCCTCGGCGCCCCTGCCACTCCTCGGCCGCCCCCTCCTTTCTGGGCACTTCTCGGCTTTCCTTCTTATCTTCGGCGGCTCTCCCAATTCTCGGCGCTCCTCGGCACTCCTTCCATTCCTCGGCAGCCCTCTCATTTCTGGGCACTTCTCGGCACCCCTTCTTCTCCTCAGCGGCTCTCCCAATTCGTCGGCGGTTCTCTGGCACTCCTTCTCCTTGGCGGTTCTCCCAATTCGTCGGTGCTCCTCGGAACTCCTTCCACTCCTCGGCGGTTCCCCATGTCGTCGGCGCTTCTCGCACTCCTTCCACTCCTCCGCGGTTCTCCCAATTCGCCGGCGTTCCACGGCGCGCCTTCCACTCCTCGGCGGCCTTCCCATTTCTCGGCACTCATCGGTGCTCCTTCCACCCGTCGGCGGTCCTCTCATTTTTCTGCGTTCCATTGCATTCCTTTCACTCCTCGGCGGTCCTCCAATTTCTCGGCCCGCCACGAGGAGCGCCGAGAGATCGGGGGCCCATTTTAAAGAAGCATCCTGTGTTCTCAGAGGGCCCCCTCTGCGTTCTAAGAGGGGCCCCAACTTAAGCGGCAGTAAGACATGTAAACGATCACGTCCCTCGTTGACAAGAGAGAGAAAGAGAGAGAGAGAGAGAGAGAGAGAGAAGCCGTGCACGTCAGTATCTACATTTGCTATAGAGTACAGATGCATACAAAACACGGACGGCCCCATCGCGTTCCGGAAGGGCTCTTCCGGAACGCGCCCCGGAAGGAAAATCGAAGAGCCATTTTAAGGGTTTCAGGGGCCGCCCACAAACGTGCTTGTCAAGTCTGTTTGCAAATCAGTTGACAGACGGCCAGCCAATCCCTCGTTGGGAAGCGCCCTAAGAATTATCTCCCTAGGAGGGCGCCTTCGACGCCCATTCTGAAGAAGCATCTCCTTTTAAGAATCGGCATAGCCTCTCAAAAATCCCATCTTCAGAAACACCTTGCCCTCTTGAAAGGCAGGGTGTTTCTTAAGGAGGCACGAATTCTTCAAATTTCTCCTCGCCACTCCTGTCCCTCCTTCGTCGCTCCCCATTTCCTGCTTCTCGGCGCTCCTTCCAATCCTCGGCGGCACTCCCATTTCTCCTCAGCACTCCTTCACTCGGCGGCTCTCCCACTTCTCTTCGGCACTTCTCGGATTCTTCTCGTCGGCGGCCCTCCCATTTTTTTGGCGTCCCTCGGCACTCCTTCCACTCCTCGGCGGCTCTCTCATTTCTCGGCTCTTCTCGGCATTCATTCTTCTCGTCGGCGGTCCTCCCATTTTTTCGCAGTCCTCGGCGCTCCTTCCACTCCTCGGCGGCTCTCTCACTTCTCGGCACTTCTCGGCGCTCCGTATGGTCTTCGGCGGTTCTGCCATTTCTCGGTTCTCCTCGGCGCTCCTGCCACTCCTCGGCCGCCCCCTCCTTTCTGGGCACTTCTCGGCTTTCCTTCTTATCTTCGGCGGCTCTCCCAATTCTCGGCGCTCCTCGGCTCCTGCCACTCCTCGGCCGCCCCCTCCTTTCTGGGCACTTCTCGGCTTTCCTTCTTATCTTCGGCGGCTCTCCCAATTCTCGGCGCTCCTCGGCACTCCTTCCATTCCTCGGCAGCCCTCTCATTTCTGGGCACTTCTCGGCACCCCTTCTTCTCCTCAGCGGCTCTCCCAATTCGTCGGCGGTTCTCTGGCACTCCTTCTCCTTGGCGGTTCTCCCAATTCGTCGGTGCTCCTCGGAACTCCTTCCACTCCTCGGCGGTTCCCCATGTCGTCGGCGCTTCTCGCACTCCTTCCACTCCTCCGCGGTTCTCCCAATTCGCCGGCGTTCCACGGCGCGCCTTCCACTCCTCGGCGGCCTTCCCATTTCTCGGCACTCATCGGTGCTCCTTCCACCCGTCGGCGGTCCTCTCATTTTTCTGCGTTCCATTGCATTCCTTTCACTCCTCGGCGGTCCTCCAATTTCTCGGCCCGCCACGAGGGGCGCCGAGAGATCGGGGGCCCATTTTAAAGAAGCATCCTGTGTTTTCAGAGGGCCCCCTCTGCGTTCTAAGAGGGGCCCCAACTTAAGCGGCAGTAAGACATGTAAACGATCACGTCCCTCGTTGACAAGAGAGAGAAAGAGAGAGAGAGAGAGAGAGAGAGAGAGAAGCCGTGCACGTCAGTATCTACATTTGCTATGGAGTACAGATGCATACAAAACACGGACGGCCCCATCGCGTTCCGGAAGGGCTCTTCCGGAACGCGCCCCGGAAGGAAAATCGAAGAGCCATTTTAAGGGTTTCAGGGGCCGCCCACAAACGTGCTTGTCAAGTCTGTTTGCAAATCAGTTGACAGACGGCCAGCCAATCCCTCGTTGAGAAGCGCCCTAAGAATTATCTCCCTAGGAGGGCGCCTTCGACGCCCATTCTGAAGAAGCATCTCCTTTTAAGAATCGGCATAGCCTCTCAAAAATCCCATCTTCAGAAACACCTTGCCCTCTTGAAAGGCAGGGTGTTTCTTAAGAAGTCCTCTTTGAGACGAGGCGTGCCTGGTAAGAAGCCTTCCCCCCCCCCCCCCCCATCCGGCCCCGTCGACGCGCAACCGACAGACGCTCGCGGATGAGGCCCTCGGAGACGCTGGCAGCGTTTACGAGGCGTTCCTCTCCGTCCCCTTTTTCGGCCCCTACCGCTCGAAGTCCACTCTCCTCTTCTGGGCCCACCACTTCGGGCGCCTCTCCGCGGAGAGCGTCGCCTGTATGCGGGTGGTTCCCATGGCCTCTGGGCCGAGGGTGGCGCTCGCTCGCGTCGCTGGCGTCGATGCGAGCGAGTTGAGCAGGGACGCCGCGAGCACGGTCGTGTTCAAGGATGTCATGAGGTCCCTCGAGCAGAGCTGGGGGGAGGAAGTCCGCCGCGGAAAAATATACACAGACACCCCCATCGAGGAACCGTTGCGGACCTCAGGGGAGGGCGGCGGCCCTCCCCTTAGGGCCACGACGGATCCCAATAGGGGGGGTGTCTTTTCATATTTGTTCTAGGACAAGCCGTGGCAGGAGGTAGACCCGCACGAGGTCGCCTGCCAGCTGCGCTTGTGGTCTCGGTGCCATTTTGCGCCCGAGGTGGCGCCCGTCGCCGCCATCGCGGAGGCCATGGAGTGATGCAGTCGCTGGGTCCCGTTGTTCCGTCGGTGGGGGTTGGGATGGTGGGTGGGTGGGTGGGTGTGGGCTTTCGTCCGGGTTCACGTCGCCACTACTACTTCTACTACTACTACTACTACTTCTACTACTACTACTACTACTACTACTACTACCTCCACTACTACTACTACTACTACTACTACTACTATTACTGTTACTACTACTACTACTGCTACTACTACTACTACTACTACTACGACTACTGTTACTGTTACTACTACTACTACTACTACTACTACTACTACTACTACTACTACCACTACTACTACTACTACTACTACAACTACTGCTTATCCGCTTACTACTACTACTACTACTACTACTATTACAACTACTGCTATTTTGTACTGCGACAACGACTTCTTCTACTACTACGTCTGCTACTATGACCACTACTACTACTACTACTACTACTATTACTACTACTACTACTACTGGCTACGACAACAACAACTACTACTACTACTAATTCTTTTACTTCTACTACCACTACTACTTCTTCTTCTGTTTGTACTATTGCTAATACTTCTTCTACTAATTACGATTACTACTACCTACTACTGCTACCAATGCTACTACTACCACTACCAGTGCTGCTACTACTACTACTACTACTACTACTACTACTACTACTGCTACTACTACTACTACTACTACGACGACGACGGCTACGCCTACGACGAATACTACTTCTACTACTACTACTACTACTACTACTACTACTACTACTACTACGACTACTACTACTACTACTAGGTTTTGGGCCTCATTCTGTAAACAGGAGGAGGAGGAGGAGGAGCAGGACGAGGAGGAGAAGGAGGGGGAGGAGGAAGAGGAGGAGGAGGGGGAGGATACCCCTCGAAAGCAAAAGAGGCAACCTTTGTCTCGCCCCCTCCCTCTTTCTCCTTCTCCTTCTCCTCCTCCTTTTCCTCCTCCTTTCCCCCTCCTCCTTCTCCTCCTCCTCCTCTTCTTCTTCCTCTTGGAGCGCAACGCTGTTGGCGCCGCGTCCTCCTCATCCTCCTCTTCCTCCTCTTCCTCCGTTTCCACTTCCTCTTTCTCTTCCTCCCTCCTCCTCTCCTCCTCTTCGCCCCCCCGCGTTCCAAGCGTCGACTTCGCGTCGAGGTCTACTCGCGTGCGTTTGCTCAGCTGTCTCGACCAATGCTTCAAATGCCCCGCGGCCGTCTGCGGTTCCTTGCTCGCGTCGCGTTCTACGCGCCGAGCTTGGTGTCTTTGCGCGCGCTGCCCCGATCGCGTTCTACGCGCGGGGTAGCTTGCCCTAGCGCCTCTCGAATGTCTTCCGAGGCAGGCGGTCGCGCCGCTGTGCGCAGATGGCCCGACACGCAGGGTGGGGAAATTGCCACCAGACGCAAGCGCAAGGCAAACTCGGCGCAGAGTTGTGCCGTCGTTCCCGCCCCACTGGCCGAAGACTGCCCAGCGGTCGAGGGCAGCCCTGCGGCCAAGAGCACGCAGGCGTCGCCTGCAAGCAGCGCGTCGCCCGGCCTCGCGGACACCGACTTCAACTTCAATTTCCGGTGCTCCGACAAGCGAGAGTCCAAGGGTCGCGTCGCCGACCCCCTTCGACGCCTTGATGCCGAAGATCAGGGCCGCCGCTACAACGCGCGACCTCCACGGACTCATTCATGTTGAAAGTTTGTTCCATGGCTTCGGCGACGAGACAGATGCCTACCGCACTGCCCAGGACGCGCTTCGGAGCATCTTTGAGGACCAGCGCGCCCACAGAGATTTGGCCGACGACTCCGACGTGGCGTACAACCATCTGTGCCCTTCACCCTTCGCATCTGCGCTCGTGGCCATCTCGTTCAAGGAGGGTTGGCGCCCGGAGTCTGCTCTACAGGACTTTAAGGCGACGGCTGTTTTTTTGGAGCATCCAGGCACGCGTTTGGCCATCAAGCCCGGCGATCAGCACGTCCGCGCACCCAATATCCAGCGTTTGACTGGGGCCGGCGGATCGGCAAGGAAGAGTTCCAAGACGACGTACTTCACCAATTGCTTGGTTGGCAGCGCAGCCGCGCCTCAGGAGTTCCGCGACCGCGAGTTCTTTTGCCAGGATAGCACATTGCGTGGTATCTACGACGCCATCCTTGCCACGAGTAGCGCTGCCGTTGTGTCCGACGAGGCTTCCATCACGTATTTAACGCCCATTTCCGATCCAGATAGCGGCGTGTACCACCTGGCGCAGAACACCATGTGCAAGTTGGTGAACGCGGAGGCAATGGACGCGCTCACTGGCAAGGGTACCACCCACCTGACGGAGCACCGGTTGATGCATCGCGTCAGCGGTCAGACGGAGGCTTGCGAGTATATTATGATCCCCAAGGCCCACTGCTTCCAGAAGCGCATGGACTTCACCGTGGCTCCCGACAAGAGCCCGTCGAACGCCCTGCAGGGAACCGAAGCCTCCGACAAGTTCATCAAGGACTTCTTCGCGTGGTTGTTCACCACCGCCAACGCTGAGAAAAAGACGAAGCGTCTGGAGCGCCACGCTCTCACCCTGTGGCGTGCGGTGGAGAAAGCAACATAATATATGCTAGCGGACCCAGAGTTCGCCGCCCTCGACCCGTGGCTCAAGAAAAAGATCGGCTACATGGACACCGACGTCTTGCGGGGGGCGAACTTCGCCTCTTTGTGTATAGATTATCTCCGTTACTGTTCTGGGTGCGAAGCCGCCCGGCACGCCGGAGACGTCGTCGAGCTTTTCGCGCTTATGTATGGCGTGCGCGCCTGGTTGCGCCAACTCCGATTCCACGCTGGCTATTACAGGTGGTACCAAGACATGAAGAGCAAAGCAGGAGGCGAGCGTTCTGGCAAGGCGCTCTTCGGGTGATTCGAAGGCGCGGACGCGCCCGCGAGCCTTCTCAGAAGGTAGCCCTCCTCGACCCCGATGACCGCATAGGTCATTTCATTCTCAATCGTCCCGCGTTCGTGCGGACGGCTACTTCTGGGCAGATGCGGAAATGGGTCGCTAGCAAGTTTAAGGGCAGAGGCCAGTCTGCTGGTCTCTCGGAGAAAGTGCTGCGCATCATGGACGCCTGGGTTGCGCCGGGGGTCCTCGAGAACGCCCGCGAGGTCCAGGGCGACGGCGCTGGCGACGAGCCGCTGATGCCGGCGGAGGAGCAAGGCGCAGTGGATGGAGATGGACCCCCTGCTGGCAAGAGGAGGAGGAAAATGAAGAGCAAGGCGCTCGCCGGGCCCGCGAACGGCAAGAAGGTTTTGACTTATGCGAAGGTCGCTTGGGCGAGCATCCAGCAGAAGGCAGAGGCCGTCGAAGCCTTGGCCAAGATCCACGTGGGAAGTGCTGCCTTCAACGCCACCGCCGCCAGCTGAGGCAAGATTTCGCGCAGAGGCGACGTCGCGCCCGCGCGCGGAGGAGGAGGAGGAGGAGGAGGAGGAGGAGGGAGGGAGGAGGAGGGGGAGGGGGAGGAGGAGGAGGAGGAGGAGGAGGAGGAGCAGGAGGGGGAGAGTGCGTTTGCGCGCTGCGGCTGGGAGACAGCCCATTAACTCCCCCCCCACCCTCCCCCTTCTTTTTCTCCTCCCTCTCCACTTCCTCCCCCTCCGCCTCCTTGTCTTCATCTTCCTCGTCCTCGTCCTCGTCTTCCTTTCCCCGTTCCTTGCCCGCCTGCGGTCCGCTCCGACAGCACGTGCCCCCACCCCCCCGACGGATCGAGGGAACGGTGCGTTTTTCATGGCATCGTCCGTGGGGATTGCCATGATGCCCCAGCCAACTCGTGTGGCGTCACGCTCTTCCCCGTCTGACTCCGTCTGACTCCGTCGTGCCATGCGTGTGCCTCTCATGCTGCGGACTGTTATGCTCCTCGTTGTCAGCGCTGTCGTCGTTTCCTTGGTCGTTGCCGTCGCCGTCGGGGTCCTCAGGCATTGTGCGCTACGAACTGCATGTGGTATGTGTTGCCTTCCCTTGTTGTTTTCCCCCACATCCTGAGTGGGGTTCTAGTTCTCCCAGAACACCCCCTCCTTCCCACCCGCCTCCCGCTCCATCTTCCATACAGCACAATCTTATTCCTACCACACACACCATACCATACCATAGTTCCTACCACACATACCATACCATACCATACCATACCATACCACACCATACGTACCATACCGTACCATACCATTCCATGGCGTACCATAGCATACCATACCATATCACACCAATGCCACACCGTACCACACCATACCATACCTCCAGTACCATACCATACCATATCATACCGTACCATACCATACCTACCATACCATTCCATACCACTCCATACCGAAAACCATACTACGTACATGGTTTGCCCTTCCCACACCTCCACGGAGGCCCCGCCTGAGCGAGGAGGGTATCGGAAAACCATACCATTTACATGGTTTCGTGCCCCTCCCACCCCTCCAGGGAGGCCCCGCCTGAGCGAGGAGGGTTTCCGAAAACCATATTGTTTACATGGTTTCGTGCCCCTCCCACCTCTCCAGGGAGGCCCCGCCTGAGCGAGGAGGGCATCGGAAAACCATACTATTTACATGGTTTCGTGCCCCTCCCACACCTCCAGGGAGGCCCCGCCTGAGCGAGGAGGGTTTCCGAAAACCAAACTATTTGCACGGTTTCGCGCCCCTCCCACCCCTCCAGGGAGGCCCCGCCTGAGCGAGGAGGGTATCGGAAAACCATACTATTTACACGGTTTCGTGCCCCTCCCACACCTCCAGGGAGGCCCCGCCTGAGCGAGGAGGGCATCCGAAAACCATACTATTTACATGGTTTCGCGCCCCTCCCACCCCTCCAGGGAGGCCCAGCCTGAGCGAGGAGGGCATCGGAAACCCATACTATTTACATGGTTGCGCGCCCCTCCCACCCTTCCAGAGAGGCCCCGCCTGAGCGAGGAGGGCATCGGTACACCATACTCTTTACACGGTTTCGTGCCCCTCCCACCCCTTCAGGGAGGCCCCGCCTGAGCGAGGAAACCACCAACGCCCAGAGGGCTGGTGGGATTGAGAGTCTGTGTGCCGGAGCTCCTTACATGTCTGCAAGGTCGCTGAGCCTAGTGCACACCAAGGGGCCCTCCAGGGCCTCGGCAAACCCTTTCAACATGAGCGGACAGGATGAGGAGGAGGGGGAGGATAGGGGGAGGAGGAAGAGGAGGGGGAGGAGGAGGGGGAGGAGGAGGAGGAGGAGGAGGAGGAGGAGGAGGAAAAAAGGAGGATTGGGACCAGATAGAACCCATGATGCATCAGTCGGAAAACATGCTGTTTACACGGTTTCGCGCCCCCCCTCCACTCCTCCAGAGAGGCCGCGCATGAACGAGGAGGGTCGCGGAAAGCATTACTCTTCGCCAGGTTTCGTAGCCCTCCCCCCTTCCAGCGGGGCCCCGCCAAAGCGAGGAGGGCATCGAGAAAATGGGTCCCACGAAACCGTTAATCTCTTTATGTGGGGAACTCCGTTAGCATATTTCCCAACCATCTTGTGGTGTTGGGTCCTCGTTTTGAAAAGATAGCGCCCCGCGTCTCACCTCCCGCTGCCCTCCTCTCTTCTCCCATCATCGTCATCATCATCATCATCATCATCGTCATCGTCACCTCTAGCATCGTCATCGTCATCATCATCGCCATGGCCATTAGTTCCCAACCATCCTGTGGTGTTCGCATGGCGGCCCCGCCCCATTCTGGCGCACCCCTCGCGCGGTTCGTGGCCCCATAGGGAGCTCCACCGAAGGCCCTAGTGGCTGCGTTCGCATGGCGGCCCCGCCCCATTCTGGCGCACCCCTCACGCGGTTCGTGGCCCCATAGGGAGCTCCACCGAAGGCCCCAGTGGTTGCGTTCGCATGGCGGCCCCGCCCCATTCTGGCGCACCCCTCACACGGTTCGTGGCCCCATAGGGAGCTCCACCGAAGGCCCCAGTGGCTGCGTTCGCATGGCGGCCCCGCCCCATTTCGGCGCACCCCTCACACGGATCGTGGCCCCATAGGGAGCTCCACCGAAGGCCCCAGTGGCTGCGTTCGCATGGCGGCCCCGCCCCATTCTGGCGCACCCCTCACACGGTTCGTGGCCCCATAGGGAGCTCCACCGAAGGCCCCAGTGGCTGCGTTCGCATGGCGGCCCCGCCCCATTCTGGCGCACCCCTCACACGGTTCGTGGCCCCATAGGGAGCTCCACCGAAGGCCCCAGTGGCTGCGTTCGCATGGCGGCCCCGCCCCATTCTGGCGCACCCCTCACACGGTTCGTGGCCCCATAGGGAGCTCCACCGAAGGCCCCAGTGGCTGCGTTCGCATGGCGGCCCCGCCCCATTCTGGCGCATGGCCCCCTGGCCGCACTGGCGCACCCCTCACACGGTTCGTGGCCCCATAGGGAGCTCCACCGAAGGCCCCAGTGGCTGCGTTCGCATGGCGGCCCCGCCCCATTCTGGCGCACCCCTCACACGGTTCGCGGCCCCATAGGGGGTTCAACCGAGGGCCCCAGTGGCAGGCTTCGCATGGCGGCCCCGCCCCAATCTGGCGCACCCCGCACGAGGATCGCTGCCCCATAGGGAGCTCCACCGAAGGCCCCAGTGGCAGGGTTCGCATGGCGACCCCGCCCCATGTCGGCGCACCCCTCACGAGGATCGTGGCCCTGTGGGGAGTTCCACCGAGGGCGCCAGTGGCAGGGTTCGCACGGCGGCTCCGCCCCATGTCGGCGCACCCCTCACGAGAATCGTGGCCCCATAGCTCCACCGAAGGCGCCAGTGGCAGGGTTCGCTTGGCGGCCCCGCCCCTTTTCGGCACACCCCTCACACGGTTCGTGGCCTCATAGGGAGCTTCACCGAAGGCGCCAGTGGCAGGGTTCGCATGACGGCCCCGCCCCATGTCGGCACACCCCTCACGAGGATCGGAGTAATCATGCCCAACCATCCTGTGGTGTTGGGTCCTCGTTTTGAAGAGACGGTGCCCCGCGTTCCTCCTCCTTCCTCCCGCTGCCCCCTCCCTCCTCCCTCCCCCTTGCCTCTGCCCTCCGCATGTTTCTGTTTCGGCACATCCCTCACGCGTTCCGTGGCCCCATAGGGAGCTCCAGCGAAGTCCCCAGTGGCAGGGTCCGCATGGCGGCCCCGCATGTTGGCGCACCCCTCACACGGTTCGTGGCCCCATAGGGAGCTCCACCGAAGGCCCCAGTGGCAGGGTCCGCATGGCGGCCCCGCATTTTGGCGCACCCCTCACACGGTTCGTGGCCCCATAGGGAGCTCCACCGAAGGCCCCAGTAGCAGGGTTGCATGGCGGCCCCGCATTTTGGCGCACCCCTCACACGGTTCGTGGCCCCATAGGGAGCTCCACCGAAGGCCCCAGTGGCAGGGTCCGCATGGCGGCCCTGCATTTTAGCCCGCCCTCACACGGTTCGTGGCCCCATAGGGAGCTCCACCGAAGGCCCCAGTGGCAGGGTCCGCACGGCGGCCCCGCATTGGGGCGCACCCCTCACACGGTTCGTGGCCCCATAGGGAGCTCCACCGAAGGCACCAGTGGCAGGGCCCGCATGGCGGCCCCGCATTTTGGCCCGCCCTCACACGGTTCGTGGCCCCATAGGGAGCTCCACCGAAGGCCCCAGTGGCTGCGTTCGCATGGCGGCCCCGCATTTTGGCGCACCCCTCACACGGTTCGTGGCCCCATAGGGAGCTCCACCGAAGGCCCCAGTGGCAGGGTCCGCATGGCGGTCCCGCGCCATTTTGGCGCACCCCTCACACGGTTCGTGGCCCCATAGGGAGCTCCGCCGAAGGCCCCAATGGTAGGGTCCGCATGGCGGCCCCGCCCCATTTTGACGCACCCCTCACACGGCTCGTGGCCCCATAGGGAGCTCCACCGAAGGCCCCAGTGGCAGGGCCCGCATGGCGGCCCCGCCGCATTTTGGCGCACCCCTCACACGGTTCGTGGCCCCATAGGGAGCTCCACCGAAGATGATGCCCACAATTGCGGTATTAACACTTGCTTATGGTTGGGAAGGGGTGGCAAGTAGAGGAGGAGGAGGAGGAGGAGGAGGAAGTGGAGGATGAGGGGGGAAGTGTGTGGTATGTGTTGCCTTCCCTTTTTTTTCGCTGTCCTCATCTTGCCAACCTCGAGCTGGTGCATTTGCTATTGGGCGGCATTATCGTCATGTGTTACAAGCGCCATCCGTAGGAACGCGCCGGAAGGAAATTCGAAGACCGCAACATTCAGCCACAACGCCCAGGGGAACCATCCACAGACGTCGCAGAGCATTGGCCACCCTCTTCGAATATCCTTCCAGGCTCGGGTATCAAGTCCCCTCCGTCAGGAGGGGCCGCGCGTCAGCCCTCATCGAAACTCTGTTGCGCGTCGCTTGTTTTTCTCAGTGTTGCTCTGCTTTGCGTTGGTACGTATTGGGGCTTGCGTCATAACTTCCCTCATCTTGGTGCCATCTTGATTCGGTCTGTTGGCAACTCGTCGGTATCGTCATTGTTTGAGGCTTGCGGAAGTGTCTGGAATTTCTGAGTTTCTTTCCCTGTCTCCCCCACGCTCTCTAACTGCTGCTCCCTCTTCTGGGGGGAGGTTACTCGTCGTAGTCGTCGTTGTCATTGGCGTCGTCATCTGGACCCTTGCCGCATCCTCCCGCGCTGCGCGGGTGGGCGCGTTCTTGCTGGGCTACGGAAATGGGGGTTGGGAGGGAGGGGATGAGTTGGAGGAGGAGGAGGGAAGGGGGGCAAGTAGAGGAGGAGGAGGAGGATGAGGAGGAAGTGGAGGATGAGGGGGGAAGTGTGTGGTATGTGTTGCCTTCCCTTTTTTTTCGCTGTCCTCATCTTGCCAACCTCGAGCTGGTGCGTTTGCTATTGGGCGGCATTATCGTCATTTGTTGCAAGCGCCATCCGTAGGAACGCGCCGGAAGGAAATTCGAAGACCGCAAAATTCAGCCACAACGCCCAGGGGAACCATCCGCAGACGTCGCAGAGCATTGGCCACCCTCTTCGAATTTCCTGCCAGGCTTGGGTATCAAGTCCCCTCCGTCAGGAGGAGCCGCACGTCAGCCCTCATCGAAACTCTGTTGCGCGTCGCTTGTTTTTCGCAGTGTTGCTCTGCTTTGCGTTGGTATGTATTGGGGCTTGCGTCATAACTTACCTCATCTTGATGCCATCTTGATTCGGTATGTTGGCAACTCGTCGGTATCGTCATTGTTTGAGGCTTGCGGAAGTGTCTGGAATTTCTGAGTTTCTTCCCCTGTCTCCCCCACGCTCTCTAACTGCTGCCCCCTCTTCTGGGGGAAGGTTACTCGTCGTAGTCGTCGTTGTCATTGGCGTCGTCATCTGGGCCCTTGCCGCATCCTCCCGCGCTGCGCGGGTGGGCGCGTTCTTGCTGGGCTACGGAAGTGGGGGTGGGGAGGGAGGGGATGAGTTGGAGGAGGAGGAGGGAGGGGAGCAAGTGGAGGATGAGGGGGAAGTATGTGGTATGTGTTGCCTTCCCTTGTTTTTTTTCGATGGCCTCATCTTGCCAACCTCGAGCTAGTGCGTTTTGTACTGGGCGGCATTATCGTCATTTGTTACAAGCGCCATCCGTAGGAACGCGCCGGAAGGAAATTCGAAGACCGCAGAATTCAGCCACAACGCCCAGGGGAACCATCCACAGACGTCGCAGAGCATTGGCCACCCTCTTCGAATTTCCTTCCAGGCTTGGGCATCAAGTCCCCTCCGTCAGGAGGAGCCGCACGTCAGCCCTCATCGAAACTCTGTTGCGCGTCGCTTGGTTTTCTCAGTGTTGCTCTGCTTTGCGTTGGTACGTATTGGGGCTTGCGTCATAATTTCCCTCATCTTGGTGCCATCTTGATTCGGTCTGTTGGCAACTCCTGGTGTCCCGACATATGCTTCAATATCCTTTCACGTTCATCCCATCTTGTCGCTTCGGCTCGATTGCCCTTGTCGCGTGCGTCACGCGCAGGGCGAGCTCCCAACTCGCTGTCCTTGTCGCGCTCTGCGCGCAAGGCAGCGCCTGGCACGTATGGCGCGGCGCGGCATCCGCAGTGCCTTGCAGCGAGCAGTTCGCCCGCGCGAAGAGGCGCTCCGAGCGGTGGGTCGCATTTGGGGTTTCGCGCGGGCGACGCTCCTGGCTCTCAACCGCAACGCCGCGCTGGCAGCCATCAGCCTCTTGCGGCAGAAGCTCCGGGACCTAGAGGCCGAGGTCCAGGCCCCCAATCCACTGCCGGGCCTCGCGGGTCCGTAAGATGCCAGGCGCCAACTACGCCAAGCCGCGCAAGCGGCAGAAATGCTCTCCAGGACAGAAGCGGCCGAATCGATCCGCGCGTTGGGCTCACCACGTGCGGAGCGACAGTGGCAAGAAGCGAAAACCAGATTTCCTTCCTGTGGCTGCTGCGATTTCGGCGAGACGGCATACGGATCTCTTATGCGATCGGGCTGCGCGCCCCGCCCTTGCCGATGCGATACCGACGCCCGCGTTAGGCGCATCCAGCCCCGCGGCCCAGGCGGGTGGCTTCGCTCGGAGGTTGGCCAGCGGTCGCAACGTCGCCAACTTGGTCCAGGCGATGGAGCGTCGCCTCTTCTCGTCACGCGTGGTCACAGATGAGCCAGGGCAGATGACGTCCTCGCCCGGCCTTTTCGCGTATTACGAGGGGCGCCCCGTCATGATTCTAAAGTGCTTCACGAGGCATCGCGTGCTGATGGCGCATGTGATCCCCGTCGAAACCGACCGGGCCGACGCCGCGTCCCACGTCGCCTACCTCCGCCGCGTCTTCACGTGCAAGCAGGCTGCGCTTGGCGACACCTGGCTTCGCTGAGCGTGCTCGCAACCAGGTCGCCTTTGCCAGGTACGCGAGCACCGCAGCTCCGACGTGTTCCCTGCACGACGTGGCCGATCGGTCGCTGACTGCGGAGCCCCTCAGGATCACGCCCGCGGCCCTAGAAGAACATTTGCGCTTCCAGGAGTCCGCTGGAAGGCCGCATTGCGCGGGGCCGCGGAGCGACGTGCAGACCGTCGGTTTCGTCTTGGACTTGCCCCGACCCATTCCCTTCGACGCCCGCGGCTATCGGCGCAGCACGTGCCGTCATGACCCGTCCTGCGCGGCGTTGCGTGACATGACGCACCACCAGACGGACGCTGACATGCAGCGGATGTTTCCTGGCGTCCTGGTGTATAAAAAGGGGCCTCGTTCGGCCATCTACATGACGAAGCGGTTCCTCGTTCACCTTGTGCTGTCCTTCTACGACGTCCTCAACGCTCGCGCCACTCGGCGGAAGCTCTGCGAGCTCTACGCCGCCAACTCCCTCGCTTCGGAGTCCGCCTTGGCGTGGAGCGCGACGGCGCTGCCGCGGTGCCGCGCGTTGCGCGGCATCCTCCTCAAGGCGCTGGGGTCTTTCCTGGCGGTCCCTGTGCGGCACGTGCGGAGGCGGGTCTTCTTGTGATAATACCTCTCGTCGCCCTGCGTCGTTTCGCTGCCAGGTCGGCTTTTTAGAATTCGTTTGATTATCCCCTCGCTGTCGCCTCTTCCCACCGCCACTACCCCAGAGGACCTCATGTGTTCATGTATTTTCGCAGTGTTTTCTTAGTTTCAGCCGCGACCTCGCATGGCATCGCCCCCAGTTCGGTTCATCGCAGTTTCCAATCTGGAACTGTTATTGCAGAGGTCCTGTCTTTGACCCCGGCGTCCTCGTCCTGACTAATGCTCCAATCAGGGCTGATCCCGGGGCGGGGGGTCGCGCGGGCAGTGGCGGGGTGGGCGAGTCCTTGCCCAGGCGGTTGCACATCTACAGCGGTCAGATCATCCGCGGGGACGGCAACTTCGATCTGGCCAAGAGGATCGGGCGCAAGAGTGGAGAGGGTCCTTTCGCAAACATCGACTACGCAGTTGTCCTCGCTTGGTGCGGCATCGACGGGTGCCTGCTGAAGCCAGTGGCGCCTGCCGAGTCCGAGGCGTGGGAGGATCTCTGCCCGGACTTGGGCGACGTCGTCACTTGTCTGCGGGGCGATCGATTGCGGCGCGGCTTGTCGTTGCGAGAGGCGGCCCCTGTCTGCCGCAGCACGGGCATGTATGGCAAGCACAAGGCCCTCACCGAAGCGTATTATCACGAGATGTATTCCGATTTGGTCTCCGAGGTCACGGCGCCGACGCCGAAGGGCGACGCGGATGGAGCGCCCGTGCAAGAGTGCGCGGCGCCGCCGACGCTCGCGGTAGGAGAGCCCGTGCACGATGTAACCAATGTGCGGAAAGCGGCATCTCCGGCCAGTAACGATTGTTCGGACTTCATCATCGACTGGGCCGACATGGTCGCCAGACTCTCCGAGAAATCCGCTGCCGAGGCGGAAGGCGCGAGCGGCCCTGTCCGCGGCGGCCTTCGTGATCCAGCCGAGGGGTTGCTCCGGGAAGCGATTCTCCACCCGGCCGCGCTCGTCAGGCGGAGCGTAGCCTCGGCCGACCAGGACACATTGGCTGAGGTCAGGTCATTCCTTGCGGAAGCTCGCCTGGACCGCTCGCCCCTCTGGCGGCGCATGTTCAATGCTCGCCCGCCGAGGGGAACTCTGCAGAGGATATGCAGGCGCCTGGGTACTCGGCTGCATCCGACGCTCCAGCGCAGGAACTACGTCGACCAGAAAGAGTTCAGGCGGGAGGCGCGCGCCATCAAGCGATGGCACAAGCCTGGGCGCAAGCTCACCAGGCGCCGCGCGGGCATGCTGAGGTCGAGGCGGGCGGTTCTCCGCGGCGGTCGAGCGCGCGGCTTGCGCACGGTTTGGACCCAGAAGGTCCAGCTGCATTACAGGAGATTCCTCCAGCCAAAGCGCCAGGAGGGTCTCTGGCGTTGGAGGGAGGTCGCCCTGGCATTGCACGCGGCAGGGATCCCTGTGCACTCGGGCGCCATCCCCGTGGAACGCCTCTGGGCATCGATGTTGGACATGTTTCTATCCAGCGCGCGGCTGATGTCGCGTGCGTGGTTCGATGTCCTCGCCGCCCTAGCGCTTTTGAGGTGCAACTACAGGCACTTCCACGTCCGCCTCCTCCGAACGTGGGCGGAGGCCGATTCGCTCCTGGCGGAACGCGTCGATAATTTGTCGACGGCGGCCCACGCTCTCAGCATGTGGGCGGAGCCCGAGGAGGATTCGGCTGACGCGCTGCCCGATAAGGTGCGCGAGATCCACGCCGCAACGTGCGCGCTGCGTCCGCTTTTCAAGCCGTTCAGCGAGGATGTTGCCCCTGTGGCGGCTGCGCCTGGCTGAATTGCAAACCTCATTATTTTAAAAAAGAGTTCATGCTGAAACTTCGCCCCTCCTCCCTCTCACCGCCCCTTGCTGCGCGATGTTATCAAACCCTTTCGGTGCTTTTCTATAGATGCCAGTTCGGGGCAACGTTTGTGGGAGGCTCGTGGGAGGCCTCTTTCTCGTGGGAGCGCGGAGGCTCGAGGCTCGGGAGGCTCGTGGGAGGCCTCTTTCTTTGGTTCCTCCCTCTCTCCCTCCCTTTGCTCGGTTCCCTCTCCCTCCCTTTGCTCCCCCCCTCTCTCCAGCCAGCCCTTCCTCCTCCGTTTTCTCCCTGCCGGGCGGGCCATGTAAGGTGCGCAACGCAGTGCCACGTGGCATCAAGACAGTTCCTGCTCCTCCTCCTCATCGTCCTCCTCGTTCCCTCCTCTCTCCTCTTACTTCTCCTACCAGGTCCGCCTCCTCCGCCTCCTCCTCCTCCTCCTCCTCCTCCTCGTCTTCCTCCTCCTCGTCCTCCTCCTCCTCCTCCTCCTCCCCCTCTTCCTTCTCTTCGTTCCCTCCTCCCTCCTCCCTCCTCCTCCTCCTCCTCCTCCTCCTCCTCCCCCTCCTCCTCCCCCTCCTTCTCCTCCTCCTCCTCCTCCACCTCCACCTCCTCCCCCAGGTCTGGAATTTATGGAATGGGCTGGAATTTTTGGAATTTTGAGATCTTCTGGGGTTTCTGGGATTTCTGGAATTTCTGGAATTTTTGGGATTTTTGGAATTGCTGGATTTCTGGGATTTTTGGAATTTTCAAAATTTTTGGAATTTCTGGAATGTTTGGAATTTTTGGGATTTCCAGAAATTCCAGAAATTCAAAAAAATCCAGGCACTCCACACATTCCAGAATTCCAAAAATTCCAGAACTTCCAGAAATTCCAAACATTCCAAACATCCAGAACTTCCAGAAATTCCTGAGATCCAGAAATTCCAGACATTCCACACACTCCAGAATTCCAGACATTCCAGAAATTCAAAAAATTCCAGGCATTCCAAAAGTTCAGAAAATCCAGAAATTCCAGAAATTCCTGAGAATAGCGGCCCGCCGGTGGCTCGCACTGTATAAATTATTGTGCCTCCAGGACTGCATTTCACGAGGCGTCTCCAAATCATGACGCGGCGCTCGACATCGTTCCTGTTGCTTCGTTGCTGTTATCGTACCTCTTGGTGCTCTGTTGTGGCCTTTTGGTGGCATTTTGGCCTGTGGCCGCCTCGAGGCATCTTGGGCTAAGTTTTGGGGCCTCTTGGGGGCTTCCTGGGGGCTTCGTGGAGGCCTTTGAGGTTCTCTTGGGGATCCCTCAGGGCCTCTCGGGGTGTTCTCGGGGCAGCCTGGGAGCGTCTTGGAGCCGAAGGCTCGAAAAGTTGCCCTCTGGACTCCGTCTTGGAGCCGTCTGGGGGCCCTCTTGGGCTGTCTTGGGGGTTTCGTGGGCTGTTGTTGGACCCTGTTCGATCCTTTTGGTGGGCCCTTTTGGCCGTCTGGGGGCGATATTGAAGGTTTGCTCTTCTGGGACGTGTTGGAAACCGAATAGGCGAGCATGCGAAACATGATTTTTTTTTCTTCTGAGGGAGTGGGGCGATGGTTGTTCCCAACCATCCTGTGGTGTTGGGTCCTCGTTTTGAAGAGACGTCGCCCCGCGTTCCTTCCTTCCTTCCCGCTGCCCCCTCCCTCCTCCCATCTTCATCATCATCGTCATCATCCCCATCATCGTCATCGTCATCATCATCTGTCGTCATCATCATTATCACCACCCATGTCGGCACACCCCTCACACGTTTCGTGACCCCATAGGGAGCTCCACCGAAGGTCCCAGTGCGTGTGCCCGCATGCGCGTCCCGCACACACCATTTCGGCACACCCCTCACACGTTTCGTGGCCCCATAGGGAGCTCCACCGAAGGTCCCAGTGGGTGTGCCCGCATGCGTCCCGCACACCCATTTCGGCACACCCCTCACACGTTTCGTGGCCCCATAGGGAGCTCCACCGAAGGTCCCAGTGGGTGTGCCCGCATGCGTCCCGCACACCCATTTCGGCACACCCCTCACACGTTTCGTGGCCCCATAGGGAGCTCCACCGAAGGTCCCAGTGGGTGTGCCCGCATGCGTCCCGCACACCCATTTCGGCACACCCCTCACACGTTTCGTGGCCCCATAGGGAGCTCCACCGAAGGTCCCAGTGGGTGTGCCCGCATGCGTCCCGCACACCCATTTCGGCACACCCCTCACACGTTTCGTGGCCCCATAGGGAGCTCCACCGAAGGTCCCAGTGGGTGTGCCCGCATGCGTCCCGCACACCCATTTCGGCCCGCATGCGTCCCGCACACCGCATTTCGGCACACCCCTCACACGCTTCGTGGCCCCATAGGGAGCTCCACCGAAGGTCCCAGTGGGTGTGCCCGCATGCGTCCCGCACACCCATTTCGGCACACCCCTCACACGTTTCGTGGCCCCATAGGGAGCTCCACCGAAGGTCCCAGTGGGTGTGCCCGCATGCGTCCCGCACACCCATTTCGGCACACCCCTCACACGTTTCGTGGCCCCATAGGGAGCTCCACCGAAGGTCCCAGTGGGTGTTCGCATGCGTCCCGCACACCCATTTCGGCACACCCCTCACACGTTTCGTGGCCCCATAGGGAGCTCCACCGAAGGTCCCAGTGGGTGTGCCCGCATGCGTCCCGCACACCCATTTCGGCACACCCCTCACACGTTTCGTGGCCCCATAGGGAGCTCCACCGAAGGTCTCAGTGGGTGTGCCCGCATGCGTCCCGCACACCCATTCCGGCACATCCCTCACACGTTTCGTGGCCCCATAGGGAGCTCCACCGAAGGTCCCCGTGGCGCAGTCCACATGCGTCTCCTTTGCCCAGTACAGCGTTACGTGGCCCCATATGGAGCCCCACCGCAGGTCCCAGCCAGCCAGCTAGCTCTCTTTGCTCCGCGCAGCGGGCGACCCGCGCGCGTCGCTGGGACTCCTCCGGGGCGACCTGCGCGCGTCGCGGGGGCTCCGTGCTGCGTTCCGCCCAGCGCCTCGCTCGCCCGTCGTCGCTCTGCCCAGCGGCAAGAGCCTTGCCCGCTATCAGCCAGCCAGCTAGCTCTCTTCGCTCCGCGCAGTGGACGACCCGCGCGCGTCGCTGGGACCCCTCCGGGGTGACCTGCGCGCGTCGCGGGGGCTCCGCGCTGCGCTGCTCCCGCAGCCTTGGACTTTTGAGTGCGCGGGCAAAGAGGGAGTAAAGGAAGGGGAGGAAGCGGGCGCGATCCTCGCGGGGGGGCGCGCCGACATTGGCGTCGCGGCGCGCGGGCGATGCCGTCGGGGAGTCCCGGGGAAGCTCCTTGCGGCGGCCACGCCCAGCGTCACGAGTATTCAGAGGCAGTCGTTGTCAAACTATTGGCATTCATACACATTTGCACCACGCTTTGTCATATTCGCATTCATGCACGTAGACTCGCTCGCACGCAGATCATTCACAGTCAGACGCACGCGCGCAGATTCACCCGCGCTCAGTCTCCCTACGTACTCAGATCAATCGTTTTCGTTCACTTTGTGTACCACGCCACTCATGTCGGCACGCCCCTAGCACGGTTCGTTGCCTCATAGGGATCGCCACCGAAAAAATGAATCACTATTGCGGTACTCGCACCTGCATATGGTTGGGTCCCTCGTCAGGCTAATTTTTTGGGAACCTCTTGGGGCGCATCTTGGGGGCCTTTTGGGGCGTCTTGGCAGCTTCAGAGGCTGCCTCGAGGCCATCGTGGGCGTCCAGGGGCGATATTTCGGCGAATCGTGGCCCCCAGGGACCGTCTGGGGAGCGTTTTGGTGTCTTCTTGGCGAGTTTTGGAGCCCTCCGCTCCCCCGTGGCGCGTTCGGTCCGGGGTCGAGCTCGGCTTGGGGGGGAGGGGTCAAATTGCCCGTTTGGTGTCCCTGGGGGGGATTCTGGGGGGGGGGATGAGCTCACGCGCCAAGAGACCCACAATGGGTCGGTGGATTATGATTATAATGATGACTACGATGATGGTAGCGACGATGCAACTGATGATGAGGATGATGTTGAGGATTACGATTGTGTAGTTGATGATGGTACTGTTGTTGCTGCTGGTGACGATGATCATGGTGACGATGCTGATGCTGCTGTTGTGGTTGATGCTGATACTGATGATGATGCAAGCGAGTCGGGTAATGCTGGTAATGCTGATAATGCAACGGATCCTCATGAATATGCTGACGATGTCGAGGATATTGATGATGATGATGCTGGTGATGCTGATGATGATGGTGGTGATGGTGATGTTGACGATGATGATGCTGATGCTGATGATGGCGATGCTGATGAGTATGATGGTGCTGCGGCTGGTGATGATGTTGCTGCGGCCGTTGCTGCTGATGCTGATGATGACGATGCTGCTGGCCCTCTCGTGGCCCTGTTGGGCCGTGCTGGGGCAGTCTTGGGGCAGTCTTGGGAGCTTCTTCGGTCGTCTTGGGACGTCGGAGGGTCAAACAGGTGAGAACCCCAAACGCATAGAAAACCCGGAGGAACAACACTGACATTTATTTCTCTATGCCCTCTTCGGACGTCTCGAAGGCCTCTTGGGCCGTCTTGAGCCCATCTTGGCAGTCTTGAGGCCAAAGTGGGTCGTCTTGGAGCCAGACTGGGCCGTCTTGAAGGTATGCTGGCCTCGGGCGCGCGAATTTGTTGTCTTGCTAGGGATTGTGGCTTCGGGACGAATGCAGGTCATGCAACCCAGTTCGACGAGAGGGGGGGGGCTAGAAGATGACATACCCCTACCAGACAGCACTTGGCGTTCTAGCACGCCTGGACGTGCCAGGGGTCACGGTGGCGGATCGGCTCGGAGTACACGGTGCACGGCATTCGAATCCAAAATTGGGGCGATACGACACATGATGTAAAACAGGCTGTGCTGTACGCGTCGACGACGCAAGGCGGAGCATTCAACACGGTTGTTGCTTCATTAGGATCAGTGGCCACTGGAATTAGTAGCGCGCAGGATTTTGCCATCGTTTATAGTTCCCCTGTGCAACACCTTCGATTGGTGATCACACGAACAGGCACTGGTTACCAACCATATATTCGGGAAATCGCGTTTCAACTTGAGGCCAGTCAGACGCCCAGCCCGACGCAAAGTCAAACGCCCAGCCCGACGCCCAGCCTGACGCCCAGCCCGACGCCCAGCCCGACGCCCAATCCAGCAAATAGCGCTGCTGCCACTGGAGATCCACACCTGCATAATATTTTTGGGGAACAATTCGACTTAATGAAGACGGGCAGCCATGTTCTAATCAACATTCCTCGTGGAACCAGTGCCGAAAACTCATTGCTTCGCGTTCAGGCCGAGGCGCGCCGATTTGGTGGCAGTTGCGCGGATTTGTATTTCCAAGCATTGAATGTTACAGGTTTGTGGGCAGAGGCTAAGCAAGCAGGAGGGTACCACTTCGACTCGCACAGGGGTGTCAATGAGAATTCAAAATGGTTCACTCTTGGCTCCGTCGAGGTCAAAGTTGCCCATGGGCGAACGCAAGGCGGTATCCTGTATCTGAACTTCTACGTTAAACATCTGCGGCACGCTGGCTTCCCCGTGGGGGGCTTGCTGGGAGAGGACGACCACCAGGACGCAACCACGCAGCCAGTTGAATGCAAGGAGCTAGTGGCCTTGCGCACAGCTCTTCAGAACACCGACACTTCTGCGCGTTCTGTTGCCACCGCGAAGTTGGCATGAGGTTTCTCCAGCTCCACTGAGCCACGCGAGGGCCCTTGAACGCGGCATGGGCGCCAGTGGTTCACATGTGCCCTCATCGGCATTCTTTTGCTTCGCCCGTCTCCTCGCCCGGTCCTCGCTTGCTTTTTTTCTCTTCGGTTTTCTCCCAAGGCTTTCTCCGTCCTCGGCGGCTTCGTCTCCTTTTCCTGCCGCTTTTGGGGCGCGGCGCGCGGAGCAGAAGGACCGCGCGCTGCCGAGCAGAGGCGACGTGAGCAGGGCCACGCACTTTCCGCAGATTTCCCCTTTACTGAGGGTACGCCGGTTCTGGTGGCACCTTGCTCTCCCCTTCTGCTTCAAAGGACAAAAAGAGGAGGGGCCGGCTCCGTGGCCGCCTGTGGTCGGGCCGGGCTGGGGCAGGAATCGATCGTTCCAGAGCGTGCCCGAACGCGCTCAGAGCGCTCCGGAACGCTCCGCGAAGGCCGCGGCGCCCGATCATTTTCCAGAACTGCCGCATCTCAGAGGTTCCCGGTGTATACGATTATGACAGTCGTGGCTGTGTGATGACGGCGACGATGACAATTTCGGTGGCAGCTGATGACAACTGATGGCGACGACGACGATGACAATTGGATGACAATTCGATGACAAGGTGGTGACAATCTCAGAGGTTGCCAACTTATCCCTGTCCGATCTTGTCCCTGTCCTTGCCTTGTCTCCTGTGGGCGCGCTGGCCGTCCTGGGGGCCATCTTGGCGTCTGCGAGGAGGTGCCGTGCCAGGTAGCCAAGGGGCCCCCCCGGCGGCCTGGGACAGGGCGCCGGCCTGGAGGCTTCTGCGGGAGGAGGGGTTGGGGGGGAGAGGAGGAGGAGGAGGAGGAGGAGGAGGAGGAGGAGGAGGAGGAGGAGGAGGAGGAGGAGGAGGAGGAGGGCGCAGCCTCGCTTCTGCGGGGTGCCCCCCTGCGGCTGTAGCAAGAGGCAGTGGCGCGAGCGCGTTTGCCAGCGTGGGCCCCAGACAGAAAGTAGGACGGCACTGTGGATATGTGAGCCGTGCGATGCACGAGCGTCTCCGCGGTCGTTGTTTCGAAGGGCAAGTCTGCATTTCCTCGGGGCACCCCTACTGGCGGGCACGGGGTGGCAGTGGGCCAGAACATGGCGGATCCTCGGGGCACAGATCCAATCCATGAGAAGCGCAAGCAAAAACCCCAGACAGCGCAAGCACCGTTTGGGGAATGAACCTGCGAACGTTCGCGCTGATTTCTTGGATGTGCGCCTGGATTCGCCCGGCTGCGCCTCCAGCGCCGTCCCTGTGCGCTCCGCGCGACAGGGGGGGGGGGTCCAGCGCCGACCCAGGACTCTGCGCGGACCTCTGTCAGCTTGTGTGTTGTGCAGCTTTATCTTCCCCTGGAGGGAGCGGCAGGCATCGAAGGCGCCCACGGCGAGCCGCCGCCGGCCCATTTCGCATCGCGGTGGCTGCATGATGGTGCGCTCGTGCCCATGGGGAATCGCAAGGCAGGCAGGACTGTCCTCAAGGAGATCGTTGGAGATGTGGCTCGAACCCTGTCGAAGAGAGCCGATCGACTGCCACAGAGGACGCCAAGATGGCTCAAGATAGCTCCAGCTGAATTACGAGATGTACCCGGGTTGTAGGTCAGGGTCCTCATGGATGCTTCTTGGGGTCTTTTCGGAGGGCTCTCGGGAGCCTTTGGGGAGCAGTTTTGAGTCCTCAGAGGGGGCCTCTTGGGGGCTTCTTGAGGGCCTCTTGGGGGTTCCTGGAGTCTGTTGGGGGTCTTGGGAGCGTCTTTGGGGGCCTCTTTAGGGGCCTCTCGGGGCCTCGTGAGGGGCTCTTGGGGGGCTCTGCTCTGCGGGTTTCCTGGGCGCCTCTTGGGGCCGAGAGCTCGAAATGTCTGTTCTGGTTCCCCCTCTGGGCCCCCACTTGGGGCCATCCTGGGGCCGTCATGGAGGCTTCTTGGGCCGTCTGAGGGCCATCTCGGGGGCCCGCTCGGAGGCTTTGTGATCCGTTTTGGTGCGATCTTGGGGCCTCTTGGGCCGCTCAGGGCGGTCAACAGCTCGAAAAGTCGGTACTGCCCAAATCGCCCGAAAACCCAAGCCAAGCCAATGATGTTCGCGTTTTCAGGGGCCTCTCGTAGTCCTCTTGGAACCCTCATAGAGCGTCTTGGGTGTTTCTTGGGTCGTCTTGGAACCAACGTGGGCGACCCTGGAACTACCCCACCTTGTGTGTAGAGATCGCTTATCTCCTCCTAGCTATCATTCCTGCTATTCCTCGGTTCAGGTAGTGGATGCATCCATGCGGGACCTTCATCGGGCGAGAAAAACAAAATATCGCCATCTTTTCTCCTCATTGTCCTCTACCTACGGACATCGCGGTAGGTTCGACACTTCGGTCGTCCACCTACGTCCACAAGTTACCAGCCTTCTCTAATCCGCTCTCCGTTGCGAAACCCCGCGCCGCCAGCGAGCCCCGCGCATCCCACTGGACCCACTCGGGACCAGTGGCTCCGCGCGCGGTGGCTCCCCGACGGCGCGTGGACTTCGCGACGACACGGAGAGGGCAGTGGGACAAGGAAACATCCGCAATCCCCCCCACCACTAGAAGGCAGCGCTGGCGCCCGCCTAAAACAACTGAGTTCCGGCGTGCGCAACAGACAAGATCCCGACAGTCTGATGTGGATGCGTCCCATCGGGTGAAAGCCCTGAGATGACGCCCTCATGCGCCCCAGGATTTGGACCAGGTTTACAGTCGACCCTTCAGTCACATGGACTCAACAAGTGTCCAGATATCCCGTCGGTGGAAACATCTGCGCTTCCCTCCTCCGCTCTTCTCGCCGGTAGAGACACCTGCGGCGGCGCGAACGAAACGTCTCCGCCGAACGCTTCCGCGAGACACAGCCGCTGGGACACGAGAGGCCCATCGAACCCCGCTTCTGTCCCCGTGTCTGAACATGTACGTGCCATCGAAGGTCGTAGCTGAACGACCTCTTCAGACAAGAGCCCCTGGTCGGTATCATCTCCAGTCTCAGCGCGGGGATACCAACCGCAGCCCCTCGCAGAGGCGCTCGCGGCAGAATTCCCGGAGGCGCGACCTTGAGCCACGCCCGTCGCCCTCCGCCGACGAGCTGGCAGAGCCCAGGGACCAGGTTGAGACGTTGAGACTTACGCGGGCCAAGAGTTGTCGGGTCTTGCTGCAGCGCTCGTGGACACAGCGACCCAGACAGCAACTTTGAGGCAAGAGATCCATCATGCTCTTTCCCTGGTCGACGTTCGTATCGCCGAGGATCGATCGATCTTCGCCGAGTTGCACGGCAAGTTGTGGCATGCTGAGATGGTTCTTGCTCAACGTTATGAAGCGTCAGAAATGCGTGTGCCAGCACGTGAGAATAAAGTATCCGCGGTCGAGCAGCAGTTGTCCGATCTTCCGGCTGCGCTGGCTGAGTTTCGTGTTGCACGGGCCCGGGCCGGCCAGCTGGGCGCCCCAACCTCGGTTCACGATTTCGCCCCCCTCGTCGCCGAGTTGGCCGAGGTAAGAAAGGCGGCGGATCACTCGCAGTTGCGAGTCGCCCAAATGTCCCATGAAAGAGATGCTGAAAAGGCACGGGCCGAGGCACCTCTCACCCGTTTGGAACAAGAGCGCTTCCAAGACTCAAAGCATCGGTTGGACCGGTATTCCCATCGAACTGATGACACCAAAGACGATGTCAGTGGTCCCCGACAGAGTGTTGAGGAGCTGCAGAGCGATCTCACGACCAACGAAGCTACCATCGTCCCGGTCCTGCATGGCCGCTGCCGGGACAGGCCCGGAAGAGTTGCCCTCGAAGTGGCCGCGGGTCCACGAGTTCACCGCCCTGGGCCACACGCTGCACGACACTGGGTCTATCCGGGCATGCTGGCAGAACACCCGCGCTGCCATGTGGCGAGGTTTCTGGGCCAACCCGGGGTCCAAAGCCGCGCGCGGGCTTACGATGCGTCAGCGCCTTCGCCTCCTGGACCGGGCAGTCTTGCCTCAGATGGATTTCCGGTCGTCGCGATGGCCTCCGCAGCGTCGCATAGCTGATGAGGTGGACATCCTTCAACGCCGGATGGTTGCCACCATCATGCGGGTGCCGCCACGCCCTGGTGAGGGCCGGCGTGCTACTTCAGGAGGCGTGGCCGCGCCGCCGCCGCCGAGTGCAACAAGCAGGGCGTCTGGTCCTGGCGCTGGTTCTGGAGGGCGCTTGATTGGCAGGAGCACCTTGACCGGCCCAGGAATGGGCAGATCTGGGCGGCCAAGTTGAGCAGATACCGGGACAGGGAGTGGTTCATCCGACGCCGGGCCTCGCTGCTCCCGCCGGGCAGCAGACGGTCCACGGGGGCATTGTGTCTGGCTGGCCGGACGGACACCCGCGCTAGCCGTGGAATGGTGCAGACGAGGTGGCATGACGGAGTAGAGTTCGCTCGCCGAGCGATTTTACCGCCCGTGGTCTTCGCTCCGCAGTGATGCGTGTGAGTGAGGCGTAATTATCAGTCTTGGCGCGCTAGCAGCGCGCTGTGTAGCATATGAGTACTCGGGCAGTTTTCCGCCCCATTTCAGTTTCAGTTTCGAAGCTACCATGGCGGCTCTCATTAGCCACCACGCGATCCATTTTCTTGCGCAACCTCCAGCAGGCGTTTCCGACACTGCCCGTGGCCGATGGCAGCATCCGCGCAGGACAACCGCGACGCGCGTTATCAGGAGCTGTTTCAGCAGCAGCATCTGCACAGACACGTCGCGCATCCTCTGTGCGTGCCCCATCGCTGACGCCGCCCATACAATCGCCGAGTATTCCCCAGTATGCTCTCGGTGGCGCTACCAATCAAGGAGTTAGATACTGTTCGCATTCCTCTGCTGCCACGGATCGCGCAGCTACAGGAGTGGCAAGACATATCCATGGATAACTTCGGCAGTGCTTCGGGACGTCCGGCGGATGCTTGCCATTTCCATGCGTTGCTGAGCAGCCTGGCTCTACATTTACGGGCCTTCAAGACAGAGGGTATTTTGAAAACAGCGACAGCAAACTGGCCGCTGGCTTCACCGCAGTTTTGCCCAACTGAATTGCGTTGCCGCATGAAGAACCTCAAGGCTCAAGAACACAACGCCGGCCGCGCGCTGATAGGAAAACAGATCGGCGGGTCCATTCGGGAGCCCCGCAAGGTCACTGATGTTGATGACACCGCGCACGATTTCGAAACATCTTCAACTCATGCGCGGTGCGGGATGAAGATATTCAGCGCTTCGCTGTGGGCTGGTACAGTTTGCTCTTGGAATGCCGCGACCCACCAGACACGAATATTCCCGATGCATTGTTCGGGACGCAAATTCGGAGACATCCATGGATGTAGTAAGACATGCGCACTTACGGCCAAAATAAGATGGTCGGCCCCGATAACACATATGATCGTTTTCGAGAACGCGTCTCGAC